AAGCACTCCTTGCTTGTGCCTCAAATCAGAAATGCATGAAGTGCAGCTGCAGAGATAATACATTTTCCCCAAAGGCTTTGGCTGAGCAAATTAGGTGTCAATGGGGTGCCTGCGCAGGCAGTACTCTCTCTAATTAGTCTCTTGAGCCTAGTTGGTGGCGGGTATGAGATGATCTAATCAATTGGTCTGTGTCTGATGGTTCGTGTAAAAATCCTACCAGGCAGACTGTCTCCCACAGGTCACCCACCTGCACAGCGGGACTGCTCATTTTCATTTTTCATCTCCTCCATCACATGATGCTGACAGTTGGTTTTAAGAAAATTGAATCCAAAAAATATCTAGTTCATAGGGCACATGGGTCAGAACAAAGTTGCATTATGGGTACCAGCAATCCAATTAATTAATATTTATAGCTGAGAAGCTCTATGTAGATATTTCTGAATAAGGATTTTATCAATTGAATCCAATTTCGGGTTTAAAACATTCATTTCTAGAGAAAGAACATTGTAAAAGCTGAAAGCAAGATAAAAATGGCATCCATTAATCTTATGATCATATACCTATGAGTGTATGTGCACATGGTTAAGCTTATAATTCATAGTCACTGTTCATTTGTATTGTGCAGGCAATGTATTTTAATTATCAATCAAACATAAGGGGAAAGATTTACCCTGATGTATTTTACCTCCCTGTGATAGTAGTATAATTTCTTTCCTTCCACCTAATTCCCTACCCATCAAATGCATAATTACATTTACATTTTAAAAATACTTTTTCTAGCAATAAACTGATCTACCTCATATGTGTTTATCAAAAATTGAAGCTGATGCTGCCCAAGAAAGGATGAGGGACATCCCATGCTCTGGTGAACAGTATTAGGCAGGGTAGGTGGCACAATGTGGTCTATTCAGTCATCTCACAGAGACAGCAGTCTTACTCTGGTTGGCACCTCCTTTATTTTCTTATTATTGGTTTCTTCCATTAATGTCAGAACCAAATCTAAGTAATGGACTTACCATAATCATTGCATTCACTGTTATCCAATTACTGTTATTATCTATTATCCTTTATTATCCAATTCTGCTTTCACCCTAAGTTAGCCATTAGTTAACCCAGCAATTATACTCAAAAGAATCAGGAAGAAGGCAAGTGCGAATATCATTGGTAGCAAAAAAACAGTCGTAAATCAATCCAACAGATAATAACATGGTATTGATTATGGTGACATCATAGTTTAGTATTACATGAAATCAAATGTATTGGAAATCTAATCATTTCTTTCAAACAGAATTAGAGTAAAAAACAACAACTACAAAGAAGTGTGGCCTACAGGAAGGTGTCAATCTTATTCACCATTCTCCACTGGTGGCGTGTCATCTATGGATGGCCTGCTCTGTACCCAACACTGTCACTGGGCACTGTTGCTACAATAAATAGCTGCTTTGTATGAGCAATTTCAGCAACACGCAGGAACAGAAACACGGTGCTCACCCTCAGTAAAGGCACCATGAAGGAACTAACTCCAAGTCTGAGAACATCTTCCACTTCCATATTTTCAGATTCTACCTTTTCCCCTTCCTGTTCATTCAACAACTATTTATTGAGTGCTTAAGCCAAGCCTGAGCTGCGATCTGGGAAACATAGGCCAACAAAATCAAAAAGAACCTAAACTTAAGAACCTAAAGATGCCATCTGCCCTCTTACTGCTTCTTGAGAGGAAGTGTCTTGGAAGGGACTAAACCAAGTCCTAGTCAAGAGGTCAATTGGGCACCAGTTCTCCATTGTGTTGATTATTTGACACCAAATTAAATGACACCAAACCTGTCATTTGGGTGTTGTTGTAGGAACTCTATGCCTAGAGAGTAGATGTCTGGGTTAGGCAGCCTTCTGCTTAAGTAACACAGAAGGAAAAGGAAGTTTTTGTCATCTTCTGAATAAAATGTGTCCGAGATTGGTAGTGGGGTTGGAACTGGATAAAGTGTCTATTGACCAGTGGATCTGAAATACTGTGGGGCCAAGTGCTGTCTCTCCTTGATGTCATCGGCCTCAAGAAAGATAGGGCCTAATCAGAATGTGTGCTAATATGGGAGCAGCAGGTACAGGAAGGGTAAATGTTCTCCATTTCCCTGGGAGAACAAGGGTGAGATGGTTGTTCCATGGAATTATTTTCTACAGTGGTAGATTCTTTAAGACTTGATAGACAGGTACAATGGCACACGCCTGTAAACCCAGCAATTCAGGAGGCTGAGGCATAAGCCAGCCTCAGCAACTTAATGAGGCAACTTGGTGAGACCCTGTCTCAAAATAAAAAAAATAAAAGGGAGTAGGAATGTGACCCAGTGGTTAAGCACCCCGAGTTCGATTTGCAGTACCGCCCTCAAGAAAAAAAAAAAAAAAGAAACTGAAAGAAAGAAATGACTTGAAAAAAGCATATCTGGGCAACCAGGCAGGGGTGAGGGATGTCCAAGTGAGCCAAATAAAGAAATGTCCACAAAACAGCAAGTATTTGAGATAACAACTGAGAAGTTTGGACTTAATGATAGCAAAGGGCTTATATATGGTTTCCATTCATACCCAGGCCTCTCTCAGAAACCAAAGAGAAAGGCTTTTGTTTACTGATACAGTCATTATACATATAGAACTCTCAGGAATAGAAGGTTGTTCCTGCCTCACGCCATATGTAAAAATTAACTCAAAATGGAGTAAATATCTAAATGTAAGGGCTTAAACTATTAAGACCATAGAAGAAAATGTAGGAGTAAATCTTTATAACCTTTAATTTCACAATGAGTTTTCAGATATGGCGCCAAAAGTACAAACAACAAAGGAAAAAATTTATAAAATGGACTTTGAAATTAAAATTTCTGTGCATCAAAGGACAAAATCAACAGAAAAGGCAGGCCATGAAATAGGAGATAATATCTGCAAATCATATATGTGATAAGGGATTAATATCCAAAACACATAAAGAACACCTACAACTCAACAAAAAGACAATCTGATTTTAAAAAGAGCAAGACTTGAATAGATGTTTGTCCAAAACAGATACTCACTTATATGGCAAAAAAATAAATAAATAACCACATAAAAAGATGTTCAATATCACTAGTCATTAGAGAAATGTAAATTAATGCCAATGAAATGCAAACCAGTTCATGACACTAGGATGGCTATAATTTAAAAAATAAAGCAGAAAACAACAAGGATTGGCAAGGGTGTTGAGAAATTGGAACCCTTCTGCATTGCTGACAGCAATGTAAAATGGTGCAGTGAATGTGGAAAACAGTTTTAAAACAGTTTGGCAGTTTATCAAAAAGTTAAAATGGAATTGCCATATGACCAAGAAATTTTCACTCCTAGGTATATACCCCAAAGAATTGGAACTAGGCATTGGAACAGACATTTGTACTTGAATGTTCATAGCATCACTATTCACAATGGCCCAAAAGTGATACAATCCAATATACATTAACTGATGAATGAATGAAAAAATGTGGTCTATCCACACAATGTTATTCAGCCATATAAAATAATGCAGAACTGATACATACTACAATATGAATGAACTTCAAAAATGTTATGCTAAGTGAAAGCAGCCAGGTCACATATTCTATGATTTCATTTATATAAAATATCCAGAATAGGTAAATCCATAAAGACAGAAAGATGGTTAGTGGTTTCCAGGCGATGGGGTAAAGGAAGACTGGGGAATGACTGCTTAAACAATATGGAGTCTCCTTTGGGAGTGATGAAAATGTTTTGGAACTAGAAAGGAACAATGGTTGTGCAACATTGTGAGTGTACAAAATGTCACTAAATTATATACTTCAAAATGGTTAATTTTATGTTGTATGAATTTCATCTCAATAAAAAAAGGAAGGTTAACCTTCTGAAAAATTATCATGATAAGTGGGAGAAATGAGTGAGAGTAGGGATGTGCTGTTTTGATGGCTCTTAATGTATGAGTGAAACTTTTGACTTTCTTGGTCAAGATATTGCCAGGTTACTGCCATGCAGGAGGGTGCCCTTATTGGTGCGGCCACTGGAGGCAGCAGGGCACCTGCACTATGAAGTCTCCAAACAAAGTCAAAACCTGTGAGATTAGACTCTCTCCCAGGTTGCCTCTGTGTCAGGGAGGATGACAGCATGGCCATGTAGATGGAGACAGGCAGGCCTGGCCAGGACTCAGTGGCCAGGAACTAGCTTTTAAACCTGGTGGGTGGGTTCTGAGACACAGTGGAGCTGATGGATCAATTCTTAAGGCTGTGTGATGTGAACCCGGGATTCTCACCCTAACCTGGCCAGATGTTCTTTTCCCATCCTAGAGATTCAACAAAGATGTTTAAGGGCTAAAATGAAGGGTAGAGAGACACTCAGGGAACATTCCTTCTTGCTTCCTGAACCAATCACTTATCAAGTTTTAGGCAGACGTCATGAGGAAGGTACCATCCCGTGCAGGATGTTGGGTCTGCCAGCTCAGGTCACTCTGGTCACTTCTCATTCTGCTGAGACCAAAGTAACAGGTAATAGGCAGCTCAGGAATTCTATCCAGCTGATTTGTTTTAAAAGCATGTATGTGATCCATTTTTCTATTTTATGTTCATAAAAGTGAACATAATGTTATGCCCTTTAAATGGTGTATATGATGCTACAGGGCCTTAATTAAGACCAGTGGTACTGCTAATGATTTGGGAAAGGAAATATGTTGAGTTTCTGTTTCTTAAGTAATCTAAAGGAAGTTAGACCACTTAAATTCATGGAGTTAAATTATTTTTTAAGGGAAGAAAATGCAATCAGAACATTTGTTTATTATATTAGAATTTTTTTGGTTAAGGAAACTATTCTACGTCAAATATATATGTGCTTCGGGTGGCTGTGAAAAACCCTGGTGAGCTCGCTGTGGCCTGACCAATTTTGATGTCTTGTGTAATTTAGGAAAAATAAATGAAGTAAGTTTTTTTATACATATATAAAACAATTTTCTCTCTTCCTCCTCCCAGGATTAAGTTGTCATCAATCTGGGAAGAAAAAAAAAAAAACATTAACGAAGTGGCCAATAATGTGAAGGGAATCATGGATCAGTTTCCTTTCGCTCCCTGCGGTGGATTTCACTTACGAGAAAATTGAAGCTGGCAAGACCCTGTTTTCTCTGCAATTTATTTAAAACCTTGCACGCATTTGGATACCTTGTGATTTCCAAGAACTATGTGAAGATTAAGCTTGGCTTCCTGATACATGGCATGTATTCTTTTCAGTCTTTTGTGTTTGATTTTGTTTGATTTCCCTCTGCAGCCCAGCATCTCTGTAAAGGTTTTTATGCTTTCACCAGCCATGTTTTAAATACATTAAGACAACACATTTGGCGTTCACACTTCTTCAGTAATGTCTGTACTTGAAAGCCACACAGTGGCATAAAACAATGTGTGTTTTCTTTGAGAGCAGTGCACATTTTGCAACCACTAGGAAGGACATTTTTCGCTAAAGCAAACCCCTGTTCACTGACTGACTAGACAGCATGGTCCCAGACTGTGGGACCCCACCTGTCGCTCACCTTTTGAGGATGTTTGCAAATGTGTGTGGTTTTTTTTCCCCCTTTGGAAATAACTGTGCATTTGTATAGGATACTGGATCTGCTTAGCATTTTCAAGCCACATAGCGTGACTGTTTTCCAAGCAGGTTGAAGATGAAGCAGCAAGTACCAAGCATTTAGAAGGAAGTTAAGGGAAATTGCTTATTTTTCAACCTCTATTGTGGTAACTTTTTACATGTGTCCTGGGTCTTGTCAACATCTCATTTTCCCCCATCCGTTCTGTTACACTTTGTATCTTCTAAATGGAGAAAATAATGAGGAACAGAATGTTTAAAACTTGGATGCAAAAGGCTGTATGGATGGGCCCTGGAAGCAGTCTTGGTTAATGAACACTTGCAAAGCAAATTACAGAATTACCCAGAGTCAAAAGTTTGCTCAGTTACAGCAATGCACCTTTGACTTACATTTTTAAAAAACATTCCAAGCTGATTGAAAGGCATCGTAGAGTACCTGACTTTAAAGAGGCTCCTGGAATAACTGTTCAAATGCAGGTTTTAGAAACAATGCAGGATTCTTGCTTTAAAGGTGAAAATGGGGGGGAAAAAAAGAAAAGAAAGAAAGGCTTCACTTCCCTTATTTAAGGAGTTGAGGACCTTGGAGGACGAAGGTGAGTCTGGGAGCCTGGGGAAAAAGTGCTCAGGGTACAAAGTGCTCTGATATGGAGGGGTTCTCCTGATGGCAGGCCAGCTCACATGGGGTGGGCCTTCCTGCTGAATCCCAGTAATACTGAGGCCACAGGGCAGTTAAACTTCATCTAAAGCATGAACTTAGCTCCTCTAAGCAAATTCCCATGAAAATACCTCCACATACATTGTTTTACATTTTCCTGTTATGTCAGAAGGAAGGAGAAACTACAAGCTTGAAATGTGTCACACATTTTTAGAATCAAAACTAGGAATTATGATCCAAATAGACAAGGGCTTCCTGAGAGTTGGGTGAGGGAAAAGCATTTCTACAAACCCGAAATCTCTACGGAAGTGGACTCAGCATTCCTAAACCCTAACATGGTATTATCTCTGGAGTAAAGTGCAAGTAGATATGTCAAGGGTCCTAACTCATCCAAATGTAGCCTTCTTTTAAACTTACAAATGCCAAGCAAAGAATTATTTACAGATTGGTTTGAAAGAGAGCAAAAGACACCCAAAGCTAGAGTGTTTTTCTGTTTGCTGCCTAGAAATCCTTTTCATTCCTCTTTCATTCATTCCAACTCACCGGAAGTCTTTAGAAGTATTTCAATTTAAAGTATACTTAATATTAGGATTTCTTAAAGGAAATATGGGGAGAAAAGTTGACATTTAATGAAAAGCAGCCTTCCTTGTGATTTGTTTTAAGTCATTCATTTGGGGTAGAGTCATAATTTTTATATTTTACTAAGTTTACATTAAGAGTTTGCTGATTAAATCTTAGTATTTAATAAGTTTCTAACTTGGAATTTTGAAAATATTCACTGTTGGAAGTCTTCAATAGGAATGTAAGGCTAATTAGAGATCTGTGCTCTTGTATAGACAACTTCTTCTGGGAAGTAAAACAATACCACTCAGTGTGCATGTAAGGGGAATCTGTCATTACAGAAATGTGATGATCAGAAGTTGGAAGGTTTTGAGTTCCCCATTCTTGCCACTGATACACGAAATCCAAAGTTCTGTTTGTCTCTCTCCTTTTCTATTTGCAGACACATTCTCCCTCCCCTGCATTTCATTCCTGCCTTCTCTGAGGGCAGTCATGAAAATTAATACAGACTGTTCATTAACAGAGTTATTATACTATTGAGAAAGCACTGGGATGTTTTGTGAGATTATTTTTATATGAAGGAATAGCTTGAATTTGAAGAGCTGGTAAGAAGAGTTACAAATACCTTAACACAGTGATGGTATCGCCATGACATCACTGCACACAGTGTTCTGAAAGGACAGGGACAGTTTGACTGACTTAAAAATACAAGATACATAGGACATGAAAACACCTATTTAAATGCTCAGAAAAAAAAAAAAGGTCCAAGGCAGAGTGGCTGTCCATCCATGAAGCAGGGATGAGAAGCTAATTCTACCTCCCAAGAGTGATTAAAAAGTTTCCAGGGGAGCCTCCAGGCTTGCAAAAAAAAAAAAAAAAAAAGCAAAGCCTCTTAGTATCCTTTCCTCTGTGTGTATATGACAGCCAGTACCCTAGGTATGCATCTATATAAGATACTCATCTGTGAATATTACTGGGTTTGTAATCTTTGTTATATAAGAGGATGTTTAGGCTGTACATACTGGGGCAGATTATTGCCTGCCCCCTATACATAGGAATATGCTCATAATTGCGCATAACTTCCATCTCCTTTACTGGCTTGTAGGCAGAAGAAACTATGTATGTTACTTATGTTACTGCCTTGAAGTCTTCTCATACACCAAAAGAAAAATTTAAGAATCTCAAATAACATAAGCAATTTCCTATTCTCATTCCCCTTCCCACAGCAGCATATTTTAGAGGGACATACAAAATCTAAATTCTCAGTTCAGGAGTGGACTTGAAAAAAATTTGTTTTTATCTTTTTATTTTATTTTTTTTTTGTATGATGCACTGAGATGTGTACTTTCTAACGAAGTTGGTACCTAAGAAATGTGGTAGCATCATTCAGAAAACTATTATACTTCAAAGTGACATATAGTAAGGAGAATGGAATAATACATGTTGCATATTTGTTACCAATTGTAATTTGTCTGTATTATGAAGGATGTAATGGTTTGTCAGCTGTCACTGTTGTTTCCTTGTAACATGATATGGAATAAAAGTATAGCAAAACCTCCATACTCTCCTTGGTACATCTTCTTCATGAGTGTCCAATAAGATCATAGACAGCATCAAAGAAACATTGTCTTAAAGCTCTTGGACACACTATTCTCAAAGAATGAAATAAGAGCCAAACACACAATATGTTTAGAAAGAGTGAGTTAACCAGAATGTTCCAAGAATCTCGCAAATCCTCCCCTTTCCTTGATTTGCTATGCCAAATTTAGGTAGAAGACTAGGGGCAGTGCAGAACAAATCTGTGAGCTGCAGGAATTCCCCTGGCCCCTCCATGATGTTGACCATATGTTCTACCCATCTCAGATGCATCTGGAGCCTATCTGGTTTTGTTTAATGACAAATCCTATTTATCTTTTATTGTCTTTTCTCTATTTTTTTGTACATATCCTGAGATAAGGTAAGTAGGTTACCCTCCACGGAATACAAATCAAAGCTTTAGCAAGCACATACTCAGAAACATTACTGTTCTCTTACTGAGCTTAGCACACTTCCCTGCACACACCTCCGGGGTGTCTGCACCTGAGTGTGCAGGGCAATGTTGGGAGCCCACGTGTGGATTGACCGGGACACATTGGTTGACCATTACCTTTTCTATCAGCACCTTCTTGTCAGATCTGTCACAATTCCAAACAAACCCCCATGATTTGACAAATTGCTTATGATGGTCATGCCAAATATAGTTAATTTGTAGATTGGCTATTTGGTACTTTAAAAATGCTAATAAGCAGCTCATGAAAGACACCACTCCACTCATTCAGACCTCAGCTGCTGCTGCTTTTTCCTCCCAAACCACTGAGTCATCTGTGCCAAAGTCTAGTGCATTTTTGGTCACTGCCACCACCAATGAATTCCACAACAGGAAACTGCAGAGATGTACACTTCATAGCTGCCCAATTCACAATAGTTTAACCATAGAACCAACCGAGCTGTTGAATGGAAAAAGAAAATGTGGTATATATATTCAATGGAATATTACTCAGCTTTAAAGAAGAATGAAACTATGGCATTTCCTGGTAAATGGATAGACTTGGAGAATATTATGCTAAGTGAAATAACCCAATTCCCCCCAAAAAACCAAAGGCAAAATATTTTCTCTAATATGTGGATGCTAATTCACAATAAGGGGAAGACGCTAGAGAAAAATAACGTTACCTTAGATTAGGTAAAGGGAAGTGAAAGGAGGGGAGGAGAGAGATGTGGGGAGAGAAAGGATAGTAGAACAAAACAGGTATTATTACTTTATGTGTATATAATATATATATATATATATATATATATGACTTCATGACCAAGGTGATTCTACAACATGTACACTCAGAAAAATGAGAAATTATATTCTACCAATGTATGATACATCAAAGTGCATAAATACATTCTACTGTCATGCATGACTAATTAAAACAAGTAAATAAAATTAAAACAAAAAAGAAGTGCACTTCACAGTAGCCAAGGTAGAGATAATATACAAATTTAGTTAAATGGGAGCCATAAATTACCCTGTAAACTGACTAAAGTTATGCAAGTGTAGAAAGAGTAACTTGTTCCAAGGAGGCTTTCCAAGGGAACGGAATGGCCGTTTTACTTCTAAACAGCTAGTTGCCCATTGTTGAGTTACTCCTGCAGCCTCAGCAGCAAGCTCCGATTTTAGAACTCAACTGTGCGTCTCCATTGATTTAATCACATGAATTCAAAAAGAAACAGGGTGGTATCTGCATGAGGCCAAAGAAATACCTTTGAGAAATACTTTTACTTTTTAAATGTGGCAGTCAAGGTGTCAAGCATCCTCTAAGTTCCACAATCACTGGACATTTCTGTCTTTTTCCGCAGGGGCTCTTCCAACTCTGGCAGGTTGGAGGGTGTGACGTGTGCTGGCTGAGGCAAGAAGTTAGAGTCAGGAGGGCGGCACTCCTGTAGTTGCTGTTGGCCCCCAGAGTAAAGAGAAACCAGAGGGGAAGGTGTTGGAGCAACCTTGTGCCACTGGGTTAACACGTACAGTCGCTGCATAATGGTGGGCATTGTAAGTCTCTGCAATGAGAACCCCACAGTGGCCCAGCAGCCTGCTGCTACCAGTGGGTGGCGGCGTTATGGGCATTAGCTTTGAGAAGCTTATATAGCACAGGGGGCTAGGATAAAGGACACAAATCAGGGGAAAACTGACAAGATTAAAAAAAAATCCAAGGCCTCGTATTTACTGTTCATCCCCCATGCTCTCGGTGTGCTATATTGTCTGCGTTGAGTCATGCTGCGAGAGAGCCAGGCACAATAATAGCTCAGAGCACACTTGCAGCCCTGGAGCATCCTCTGCCAATGGTGCTAACTGTGCTAGTAGAGAATGGGATTCTGATAGAGTTGTCTTTTTTCTCCTTCCCTGCAAGACCACCAATAATTATTGGAGGGCACATAGCAAGGATGGGGTAAGGGTTCCCTGTTGGGGTGTATCCTGAGAAATGAACCAGCAGGGGTTCCTGAAAAGGCGTGTGATACGCAACCCAAGGTGCGCCTGCCAGACAGATAACAGACAATACCAAGGAAGTCCAGGGACACATCTGAAGCAGCAGTTTGAGGGTAGAGAGAGGCTGAAATAAAACTGAGCTTTATAAATCATACAACAGGGAGAAACAATCTCTTTTCCCTCTCTCCTTCTTTAACCAACTGTAGTAACAGGTACCTTGCTTCCCCCAAAGAAAGCATATGATCCACTAGGATCCTTGGGGAAAAGCAGGCTCCTTGGGGAAAGTCTTGTGATTATCTTGCTTAATATTTAGGAAATTCCGACTCCTGAATCCATTCCCTTAGTCCAATGGCTCTCAGTCCTGACTTGTATTTGAATCACTGGGAAGTTTTCAAAATACCTCCACCCCAGACAAATTCATTGTAAGAATACCAAAAGAGGGGACCTGGCACTGGTGATTCTCAAGGGAGGGGATCTGGCCCTGGTCTGTTTGGAGAACCTCACACGTGACTCTCTGATGCAGCCAGTGTGGGAACAGCTACACTCTTCCCTTCCTCCTGCCTGTCTCCTACTTCAGGATGACAGCTGCCAGGCTCTCTGTAAGGGACTGGTAGTGAGCACTTTTCCCTCTCCAGGCCATATGATTGATATCTGTCACAACTATGCACTTTGCCATCCTAGTACAAAAAGGATGGCAACCGACAGATCAATGAGCACAATCCATAGACAAAATGAGCACGGATGTGTCCCAATAAAACAATCTGTCTACAGTGAAATTGGTTTCATAGAATTTTCACGTGATCAAATATTGTCTCTCTTTTGATTTTTAAAAACTATTTAAAAATATAAAGACCATTCCTAACACAGACCACATATAAAATGCAGTGGGCAGGAACTAACCTGGGGTTGTAATTCTAAAAAAGTTTCTTTTTTTAGAATTCAGCCCTGGTAATGGGGTAGGCAAGGGCCACCACTAACATCCACCAGGAAAAGAGTAAGAGTCTAGGATTTATCTATCTATCTATCTATCTATCTATCTATCTATCTATCTATATATATAAAATGAGGGTAAGAGAGAGAGAAGGATATACCCCTCCTCCTCTCCTTCATAATGACCAAGATGACCAGGTTTGGGCTTGGAATTGAGTTTTTCACCAAAAAAAAAAAAAATTGAGTTTTTCACCAAAACATGGCAGCATGAAGACGGTCAGTTAGGCCTGAGATCTGCTCTTTTTGCTTCCCACCTCCAGCACCATCTGCAATGTGAGGGGCCCTAAGTTGGAAGGGTGGATATCCCAGTCTCTGCATCCCGCTTTATCCATGCCTTCAGCAAATAGCCTCTCCTGGACCAGCCTTTGGCGATGAGGTTAAATACCCTCAGGGAGGCTGGGCCAGGCAGGACTGCATTAGCAGAGAGGATTCCTGGTTCCAGACATCTGGAGTACATGGAGCAGAGTGGGGGGAGATATGTTTCTTTGGGCCATGGTGCCATGGATTGGTCCTTCTATGGGAAACGGCTAGGCCTGCAGGTGGTCAGAGCCCTGTCCTTTAAGCAAGGGAATCAAAATAGATGTCTCCCTTACCTTGGTCTCAGGGCAATACCGATGGGTATTAGGAATCTGAGAATTAGCTCCAATGAGTTTTGAGGTCTCTTATGAGTTCCTCTGGCCCACTTCACTCAAAACTTACAGGAACAGTCCTCATCTCAATGTGAGGCAGATCCAAGCTGAGGGAAGGGAAACACTTTTTAGACTATTTCTTGTAATTAAAAGTAGCTTTTTGTCAGTGGATTGCTGAAACCACCTGGTCCTGGTTCCCAGGAATCAGTTGTTAAATATTTAGGGACTTTTGTGAGTCAGTTCTTAAATCACTGATAACTTGAAATCAGATGGGGGTGTTTACAACCAGAAATTGGTAAACTCTACAATCAATTTGTTTTTGTTTGTCTTGTTTGTTGGTTTGGGGGCAGGGGGGTTGTTATCTTGTGTTTTGAGAACCAGTTTCCCAGCAACACCATTACCTCTAGACCCTTCCCTTTCCCGCCCCATCTCCCATCTCTCCATGAGTACACCCTCCACCCATGCCACTTGAACTCTTCCGTGACCCTGGGTATTCCAGACATCCTCATGTTGGTGTTCTCTCTGGCTGGAATGTCCTTTCCCATTTTTCTAGCAGACAAATTCCTGTTCATACTTTCAAAACCTGAAAACCATCTCTATTGCAAAACATTCCAGAACTCCCCCTTAAAACAGTTTCTCCCTCCTCCAGGTTCCCACATCATTTTGAAAATACTAACCTACATGATTTGTTTGTTGTTGTTGTTTTTCTTAAGTCTCTACGTCTGTGAGCTTAAAAATGGTGCCCAAGATGTAGTAGACATGTAGTAATTTAAAGCAAATTAATTATTAAAAGATAATGAAGATTAATCAAGAGTTAAATGGCAATATGATTTTCCTTTCTGAGAAGGAAAGCCTTACTTAGAAGCCTTCAAGCAATGTGAACATAATTGTATCATAATATAATTATAATATACACTCACACACTGT